AGAAAAGGTGGGGGCCAGTGCAATGTCTCAACAGGCTGATCCTTGACCATCAAGCAGCTGACTTTTCATGTGGGCTCTGGTTCATGTCCTGGCTGCTCCACTTCCATCTGTGTCCCTACTTATGGCCTGGGAAAGCAGTGGAGAACGGCCCAAAACCTTGGGACCCTGCACCCACATGGGAGACCCAGAGGAAGCTCCTGGCTTCAGAGTGCCTCTGCTCTGGCCATTGTGGCCATTTTGGGAATGGATGGTGGGTGGAATATCTTTCTGTCTTTCCTTCTCTCTGTATATCTGTTTTTCCAATAAAAGTAAATCTTTTTTAAAAAAATGCTAGAAAAGGTTAAGATTTCTTTTTGACTATTTTTGTATTAGCATTTATATTATGTAATTTATTTTGTAAGCATAATTTGATCTTAGAAACTAGATTTTACGAAGCATTTTACTGTATCAAGCATAGAATATAATCTTCCCTTTTCTAGTCTATAAAGTGTTCTATTTCAGAACATGAGCTGCACCTAGATAAAATACATATTGAAGGCATAGTGTAGCTTTTTTTTTTAAGTTAGAAGCATTTGTGAGTGGCTATGCTACATATTGTAAAGAGTGCTTTCTAAGGCCTACAATTTATGAAACTCACATTTTCCAGTACTTTCCAGTTTTATCCATCTTGCTTAACACATCTCAAAGTACTTCTGTAGCTTTTTTTAAAAAATGCTAATTTTATCTTGTGCAGCCTGCCTTGACAGCATATCTTTTTATTGATTGAAATTCCAAGTCTCTGTTGAGGATTAAGAAGTTAAAAATATAACTTTATTATCTTAGAGAAAATCACATTAGAAAGCATTTAGCATGTTACAGAAATGTCTGAAAGCATTGTCAGCTTCACATTTGGTCAGTAATTACGTCAGCCTGACCCTGCATACAGTGGTTTAAGAGAATTGTTTTTAGATGCTGCTCAAAGCATGGATGTTATTTTCAGACATCTTAAATCCTCTCCCTTTCCATTCCCAAGTGTCTATATTCAGATGCACAGAACTTGAAGGGTCAAATCTTAAAGAAAATAATAACAATAAATTTTAATTATTTGAGAGAAAGAGAGACTCTAGACCGCTAGTTCACTCTCCCTGAAGCATACCACTGGCTGGAGCTAGGCTGGACTCTAAGCTGGGAGCCCTGCATGCAATCCCAGGCTTCCACATGGGTGGCAAGAAGTTAGTTACTGGGAATACCACTGCTGCCTCCTGCAAAAAACTGGAGTTAGGAGCTAGCGCTGGGTGCGGGGCGTCAATCTAGTCCTCCAAGACAAGCCGTGGGTGTTCAACTGGACTAAATGTCCACACCTCATCACTTTTACATAATTATTTATACTTGGAAACCATGTATTCCAGAAATGTAACAACCAACAGAGCCTGAAGCTGCTGCTGTACTCATATACTCTGAAAAGCTTTAAAACTTTTACTTTAGGGAATAAAACTAAAAAAGATGAAATACAGAGATTTTTCACAGTACAGTGGAACAAAATAAAATTATCTCCTCTTAAAATAAATGGCAGATAGGGAAAACAATTTTTCCTGTCATGGATAAAAGCTAGGGAACACAAAACCTGCCTTTGTAATATGTTAACTCACATAGCTTTAAAAAACAAAAAACAAAAAAGCTAATGTGCAGTATACATTGTCTGTTTCCAAGGGTGATTGCTGCTGCGTACTATTAAGTTCTGAAAAATACATAACGGCCTAACTATAAAGAAAGATTATAAAATGAAAGATTGAAAAACAAAAGCACATATTGAGTCTCAAGCTTTTCTTTCTTGGTAGGGTAGGGGGTGGGGGAAGGCACTGTTTATTCAGTTCACCCTCTATGGGGTTGTTCCCCTTGTGAATTCATATTCACAGGCTTGCATAAATAAGTAAGTCTTGAGATCTTTGAGATATTCCCAATGATGGAAAGTGTGCAGGCCTCTGTAAGTTTTCTCTTATTCATCTGTAAGGTTAGAGTGGACAAAGCACAGAGCAGACACATAAATGTCTTCTGAAACCCACCTGTGCTGCTTAACATCTTTGTAACCTGAGCAAGTCCCAGAATCTTTCTGAGTTTGTTTTTCTTTGGTTGTACAACAGAATTTTAGTTGTCTGCTTTCCCTGAATCAAGGGCTGTGCTGAGAGAGAAGAGGGCCAAATTAGGCTGAATGTACAGTGGCGTGTTCACAAGCTTCATTCACATTTTATAGATGATCAAAGTTCAGAAGAGACTAACGGGCTTTTCCAGATCCCATGGCAGCTAGCAAATGAGAGACTGATCCCAAGAACCATGTTCATCATTACACTGTTACTTACTATCCATTACTCACTATCCATTACTATCCAGTACTGTCAGTACTGTCCATTACTGACATTTGAGGCTAATAATTTTTTTGTTTGGGGGTCTTTTCTGTGTGTTTGGCAACATCTCTGCCTCTGCTTAGAGGATGCCAGGACCCAACCCTGCCTCGCCGATTTTGACAACAAACAATGCTGGCAACGTAGTGCAGCAGGTTAAACTGCTGCATTGGCCTTCCATGTCAGTGTCCCAATTCAAGGCCTAGCTGCCTTCATTCCAGTCCAGCTCCCTGATGACAATCCTGCACACGTAGTGGAAGGTGACCCAAGTACTTGGGCCCTGTCACCTGTGTAGGAGACTAGCATGGATCTCTGGCTTTTGACTCTTGACTCCAGCCTTTGTAGCTATTTGGGGGGTATAGCAGTGAATAGAAAATCTGCTTGTTTTCCCCCCACCTTTCTGTCTCTGTGCCTTTCAAATAAATACAGTCATTTAAGTGTTTTTAAAAAAATGAAATTGCCAAATTTTCTCTGGTGGCAAAACCATCTCTAGTTGCCTGTCACTGCCCTTTTACACCTCCAGGGATAAAGTGCTTGCTGTTTTTTATAACACTTAGCAGTGTTGGGAATGCAGGGAGCAGCTTCAGGCTAGAGTAACTAGTTTTTGTCCATCATCTTCCTATCTGGATAAAAGCACTGGCATTGTCTTCATAAGGTAGTGCACTTCCTATCCCTGTAAATTCTTCTGCAATCTGCCACAATGATTCCTGAAGGCAGAATCATATCTTCTGTTCTTCTTTCCCATGTAGATGATGACTATTCCCTAACAGGCTCCAATGGTTTTTCTTCAACAAGCCAGCAAAGCCCTTCTCATCAGATAAAATCTTAAGGTCCTGAAAATTATCAGAGATTTTATGTGAGTTGTGGCATGGATTTTCATTACCAGTTTCTCATTTGATCTTCACAGTAAGCCATTGGTTTGTATCTGTTGTCCATACGTACATTTTGTTTTAATCTAACCTTTTCTTTGCCTGCTCCTTCAATTTTGGTATTCTTGCAACACTTGATAAAGAAACTCAGCAGGAAATTGATTCGGAAACTCAGCAGTTGTCTTTCTACTAGCACTGTCTGAAGGGTAGCATCCTTCTAAATTACTTAATATAAGGCAGATGCTTTTTTTCCCCTGCATGACTCTTTCTTTTCCCTTTAACAAGGATCATTAAATACACGTCTCCTTTGACTGCATCTCGGGCCTTAACCAACTTTGCTGATACTCTTGACAGGTATCCCATATTTCTCCAAGAGTGCCATGTTTCTAGTATTATTGTACAAAAAGATGTAGCGCACATCTCCCAAGCCATGCTCCCCTTTCATTTTTTAGTCTCTACATGTGGTACTCTGCCCAATGTTGGCACAGTTATTGACTCATTGACACAACTTCACCTCAGCTTTCTTCATTTTTAAAGATTTTTATTTGAAAGAGAAGGTTAGAGAGATAGGGAGAGACAGAGAGAGATCTTTCTACCTCTGATTTACTCTGCAAATGATCATAAAGCCAGGGTATTGCCAGGACAAAGCTGAGAACTTCTAGACCTCCCACCTGGGTACCGCGGCCCAGGTGCTTGAACTTGAGGCTTGAGCCATCACCCATATGGAATGCCACCATCAAAGGCAGCAGCTTTTCCTATTATGTTACCATGCTCACACCTAAACCCTAACTTTCTAAGCATTTATGTTTAACCTAAAATGTTTTGTTTATTTTTGTTGTCACAACTGTTAGGACTTTAGATGCATTTAACCTGGGCTTTCATTAGTCTGGAATACTTTGCAGATAAGCCTTCATGGATTAAGTTTTTTAAACATCAAGTTTTAGGATGAACTGCTATTGACAAGGACAATAAATGTGATTGAATGTGCTTTAAAATATCAGCATGGAACAGGTATTAGCCTGGTGGTTAAAGTACTGGTTAGACTGCCCTCCATCAGAGTCCTTGGATTCAATTCTACCTTCTACCTTCTGAATCCAGCTTTCTGCTACTGCAGTTCCTGGGAGACATGAGTGGTGGCTCAAGTAACTCAGTTCCCACCACTCATGCCAAATATCTGAATTGAGCTCTGCTTCTTCCTTTGCCTCTCCCCCTCCGCTGTTGCAGCTATTTGGGGAATTAACCAAATGGGATCACTGTTGTGTTTGCTTACTCTTTCTTTATCTCTCTCTCTCTCTCCATACACCCTCTCTCAAATCAATAAATAAAAAATAACAAAGCATCAACCTGACCTAAGGAGAGGCTGGCCTGACTGCTGTTAGCATTGACGACCCAGATTTGCAGAAGAATTGTCTAGACTCAAAATTTTGCTGATAAAGTATCCAAAACAGTAGCTTGAACCAGTGGGAAAGAAGACTGGATTACTTCATAGCAATATAACTTTAGTGTCAATTAAAACTTTGTTTTTTTGTTTAAAGTGCATGTGAGTCATTTTAATTACTACATGGTTCCTTTTAAAGAAATTAATTGGCTCCTGCTAGAAAATGCAATGTCTGGCTCCATTAAGAGTCATTTTTCTTTTGAGATCAGCATGCATCGTTACAGAACAGACTTCACTGATTCTGATTTAATGTGCGTGCAGCCATTTTACCATATTATGTAAGAAAAGCATTGAGAGTTTTTCTTCCTTTTCCAGGTGGCCTTTCTGAAGATGTAGCTGTTAGAGCTGAGACATTCTTCTCCCAGCAGACAGCTCTCCAACATAGAGCATACTGAAGGTCTGCAGTCAGCACAGTGGGCATCAACTACAAAGACAAAAACCAGTGCTACAGAATGAAACCGTCACCTTGAAGTTTTGAGTTTACTTGCTTGCATATGTTCTTTCTAAGAGAAGAGTTAACCGAACATCTTTGAAAGCCCGGAGCTGTGAAGAAAGTCATAGTAGCAGATTGTCAGCAGGTTGAGATAAGTATAGATGTTACATCATTACTTCCCACAGAGAGGAATATTCAAATATGTGCTGTGTCAGCACCACCTGGAAGGATATTAGCTAATGGAGACCCATCTGTCCTGGTTAGAAGGCAGCGAGGAGCTTGCTGGTGGAACTAAATGTTAACTGTTGTAAATCCTGAGACATAAACTTTGATAGAGCATTTCAATTTTGCTGAAAACACATCTTAAAAAATTGAAAGTTTAAACTTTTTATACCTTATTCGCAGAAAATGCTCAGTGGATGCTTGTGGCATGAGTGATCATCTAATTAAAGATTTGCCCTTATTTACATTCCTGCTTGTGTCCCTTTTGTTCTTTATTCCTTTTACCACGTACTATTGGCAAGTTCCTGGACTTCCCTCACTGTCATCCTGATTCAGAGTTGTGTTAATCCTTGTGTATCAGAACAGGTACTGAGAAACCGCTGAGTGAAAATAAAGGTGCTAGAAGGAGTGTTGCAGAGCAAAGATTGGCTCCTCATTTTGCAGAGAAGGTTTAAAATTTGCCTGGAATCACACAGCTAGATACAAAACTGGAAGTGGAGCCAGGTAGGTCTACCTCCTCCCCGTGAAGTCTAATCCATGTCTCTCACATCTTCCTTTCCTACTCTGCTCTGTGTTCAGAAGTACAGTCTAGATTTGCCTGTTGGCAGCAATCCTAATCTGCAGACCCCCTAAGATCTCTTTCCTACCCCTTGGTTTTCTAATTTCGCTAAACAAGTGTCGGTTGGCATTATGATTGGTCAACCTGCCATGACTTCTTCCTTGGAGTTCAACCAGAACTCTTGTCCACCCACAGAGCAGTGGCTAGCATTCTAATTCTCTAACTGGTGGACTGAGATAGGAGTAGAGCCAATCTGTCTGATCCTGTGGAGTCATTTTATTAAGCACAGTTTGAAACACTGAAGTTCTTAGTGATACGTCCAAGACTCACAGCCACTGAGAATTAGTTTGGCTTCATTTAAGCTACTGTGCTCCCAAGCGCCATGCTGACTCTTGAAGCTTTATACTTCTGTCATTGTAAGGCTGATGTTCCCAACATCAGAACTGTTTACATCTTGGCCTGAATAATTCTTTTCTGTGCGGGAGGCCACCGTATGCATGCAAGGGCATTAGCAGCATCCCTGGCCCCCAATCACCAGATACCAACAGCATACTCTCTCCTTTACTCCCATTTGTGATGAACAGAAATGTCTGCAGGTGTTGTGATTGACAAAACTACCTCCAGTTGAGAAGCACTGCTGTCGAGGTGTGGCCTGAGAAACAAGATTTCAGCCATGTCTGTAGTTGCATTTTGCTGATGGCAAGGCTTATTACAAAATCTGAGTCTTTCTGGTATGTGGCTTTAGGTATTTTCACAAATGAATGCATTCATGATGAGCAACCTTGTGTGTGACTGCTGCTTAGAGATCTGTTTACATTGATCTCATGTTAAAGACTGGAATAAATTAGATGAAACAGAATTCAGCCTATGTATTAAAAAAAGAAAGAAAAGAATTGTCTTCTGAAATGGTTTTTTTCTCCCTCTGGACAGAGAAACCATGACCATACAAATGTATGTTTTTGGTTTAGATAGTGAAGATGCTCAGTGTCTAAAAAAATAGCTCTGCAATACTCAAAATACCCAGCTAAGACTTTCTAATTTATCAACCTTGCCTCCCTAGCAAGATCAGTTTCAGTTAAACAGAGTTAGACCCTCTTAACTCTCTCTGAGATCTTATGAGGAAAGAAGCCAGTCTAGGTTCTGATGTAGGGAGTAGGAGTGAAATAACTAAGAAACTCCAAGGAGTAAGTAGAAAACAGAGCAGAAGGACTGCAGCTTATGTGCTTGATGTTCTCTTTGCCTTGGTTAAGTTCTGAAGCCCTGGGTCTCCACTGGCCTCTGTGTTGGGGAGCTGCACTGGCCAATGCTTAGTGGGAGCTGTTAAAACCTAATCATTGGGTAGGGCTGAGGGAGTCTACTTCTTTGTGACCGTAGAGAGTGAGAGCATAAAGAAAATGGGAGTTTTCTTTCTTGTTCTCTTAAAATAATGAGAAAATTGTATGTGTGAGAATGAGTGTCAGAGATATGGAGCATTAAGTGATTTAAATTTTAGCAGATTACATTAGGAGGACTGGAAAGAATTGAACATTGAATTCAACCATTGAATGTTGACCCTTGTAAATCCTAGCATGTTAGCCTCCTTTGTCTTGTGAATATAATTTTAGAATCTATTCAGTGGCATGCCTAACAATGGCACAATAGATTTCTACAAGCTTTTAAGAGGTTAGCAAAGACTAGAATCCATAGTAAAATATCTAATTTCTTGTATGTATGTGTATGTGTATTCCTGTAAAAACGTGACCCTGAACTCATTCCCACATAGGAAATAGGCCTTGTTACAGATTTATTGACCTCTTCTTTTAGCAAACCAATGACTAAATTTGTTGATTCAGTGAATATTGAAGAACTGCTACACATCAGGTAGAGTTATGAGAAATGCAGATAGAGACAATAGAGACCAAAAAAACAAGCATTGTATTTTATTGTGGAATAATATAGTTTTTTTTTTTTTTTTAAAGATTTATTTTTATTATTTTTTCATTGGAAAGGCGGATATACAGAGAGGAGAGACAGAGAGGAAGATCTTCCGTCCGATGATTCACTCCCCAAGTGAGCGCAACGGGTCGATACTATGCCGATCCGAAGCCAGGAGCCTCTTCCAGGTCTCCCACGCGGGTGCAGGTTCCCAAAGCTTTGGGCCGTCCTCGGCTGCTTTCCCAGGCCACAGGCAGGGAGCTGGAAGGGAAGCGGGGCTGCCGGGATTAGAACCGGCACCCATATGGGATCCCGGGCGTGCAATGCGAGGACCTTTAACCACTTGCGCCACCGCGCCGGGCCCCGGAATAATATAGTTTTTAAAAAAATAATAGGCAAGAAAAAAATTGGATAAAAGAAGATGCTATTTCAGACAAGGATATCTAACTTAAAGTATATGTATATTTTTGGTATAAAGATAACTAGAATAAGTCCTGCAGGAATTACTGTGGAGATAAAGCATTAGGTTCCAACAACAGATTATGTCAAACCACAACCTTATATCTTTGTGCCAAAAGTAGCTTGAATAAATAAGACTTCAAGTGTATTAACAAAACTTGTTCAATTAACTCTAAAATAAATAAATAAATAAAAACCCAACCAGAACCAAACTCTCTAGTGTCACTTTGCACTAACACTTTGATGATTAGAGCCCTTCAGTAGCTCTTGCAGGAATAAGTGCTGACAATGTTAAATAGCTTTGCATGATAGATAATGCCAGCACGGTTCTAGTCTCTGCACATTTTTTTTTCTTGCTGAATGTATGTCAAAGATTAATTAGAATCTGTATTTCATTGTAATTTGTGAATGTAGGGATGACTTGTACATCTTAGTCTGCAGTTAGGAAAGAATCGTCGTTTATCTTAAGCATAAGAGGAGTGCTTCCCACTAATTGCTCATCCAAAGGATCTACACAATTTTAACTAATCTTAAATGTTCAGGCTACTCAATCTTACCTGATATAACAATTTTAAGATGCTTCAAGATTTCAGCCATACACTCAGAGCACATCATCATTCCTTAATGTGAGGGGACAGCAATAATGTTATGGAGGTAAACTCATTTTAAGAGGTAAATTCTCAAGTCTTAAAAAAAGACAAGAGGGGTTGATGTAGTGGTGTATCCCATTAATCCTCTGCCTACAGTGCTGACACCTCAAATGGGTGCCATTTGTGTCCTGGCTACTGTACTTCCCATCCTGCTTAAGGTCTGGGAAACAGTGGAGGATGGTCCAAAGCCTTGGGACCATGCACCCATGTGAGAGACCAGTCAAAGCTGGTTCCTAGTGTTGAACTGCCTCAGCACTTGCAGTTGCAGCAATTTGAAGGGGTGAACCAGTGAATGGAAGATTTCTATCCTTCTCTCTGTAAAATATGTTTCATTTGTCATTTGACAAATACACTTGCTCAAAAAAAGCATTTTAAAGTGCATCCATGGGCAAGTATTGTGCTGAAGTAGGTTAAAATACCACTTGGAATGCCCATATTGGATTATCTTATTTTCATTCCCACTTCTGCATCACATCTCGGTCCTGTCAGTATGCCTCCTGGGAGGCTGCAGATGATGGCTCAAGTACTTGGGTCCCTGGGATCCCAAATGGGCTCCTACCTTCAGCCTACCAACAGAGGGAAGATCTCTTTCCCTCTCCTGCTATCTTTCAAATAAGTAAAAACAAATAAAAATAAATAAGTAAACATAAAAAAATGCACCCAATTTGTACTACGAGTGCAAGTGTACTTCTAAAAGTTCATCCAAAATGGACTTAAATAATGAGTTTATTTTTGGGGGGGATGTGTTGAGATCTGTGTATATGGGGAAATCTTCCAGAATTTCTCTAAAATGAACATTTAAAAATTCATGCATGGGATTCCCAAAATTTTGAATGAATAACTTTTAATTCCACTTTCCATGAACTCTGTGCCCACTTACAGGGTGCTAGTGGGTATGGTGCTTGTCTTTCACTTTGACTCTAATGCCTATCCAGTGTGGCCTGGACACTCTCCTTGCACAAGATCTTTAAGTAGAAATCTTTGAATTGGTTTCTGTTATGATGATGCTTTGAATTTTTGCTTTCCACCTCAGGCTGGCATGTCCTGTTACAAGGGGAAAATGCAAGGTTGGGTTTCCAGCACCAGAGCAGTGGCCAGGCAGCATAAACTGTGCACAGGACTGATGAGAGCCACAGGGTGACTGCCAACAAGTTTCCAGGTGAAGGACTTTGGTGCAAGTCTGGCAGTTGGTTCTTGCCTGCGTAACAGAGGCAGCCTAAGAAAGGCAAGCTGAAAATACCCATATCCTGCTCCCCTGTTCATTTCCTATTGGGGCAAAGTTGCTTATCATGCTGCTACTGGAGCCCCAGTCTAGCTAATGGGGCTCTCAAAACAGCTACTTTTTGCTCAGAAACCTTCAAGACCAAAATGAACCAAGGCAGTCTCTGCAAGTGATTTGTAGAAACTAAGGATTTTACAAGCTTAAATGCTTACAAAATAACAGACCCATCTCTTTTTCCCACTGGAAGTCAGAAAATGTGTTAGAAGTGTCAGCCTGGGTTACTCTTGCACTTCCTTTCCAGGATCAACACTTAACTGTGTGGCTGTCCTCTTTAGTTGAAATGTCCTTCTGATAGGATGGTGCCACAAGGATCAAAATTAGTCATCATTGTTCTTCCAAAATATAACATATGGAACTTGGAAAATATCCTATTTACTGTTGTT